GATCCACTCTGAGAAGGTGCTATTTAAGAGACTGAGCTGAAACAGCACCTCAGACTGAGGAAGTCTCTTGGATGAGAGACAAAACGTTTCTACATTTTTTTATTGTTTTTGTTGTTGTTTTGCTTTGTTTTGTTTTTTTGAATGTCCAGAGGACCAGATCTAAATTTTTTAGATTTTTCTACCTGGATTATTGAGCATGCATCAGGATATTTACAATCAAAGCTTAAACTTGGAACACTAGTATCTCTTGAATGTATTTATTACCATGATGAATCCCTTTTTACTCAAGTTGCAGAAGTGTAATTGTTTTAATTGAATCGTTTATTATTTAAATCTATGTTTAGTCTAACTATGTGTTGTAACTGTTTTTTACTGAGTGTTTTTTTTCCCCTCTCTCTGTATGCTGTCAGTCTTGGCCAGGTCTCTTGTAAAAGAGATCTTTTGACCTCAATGGGACAAACCTGGCTAAATAAAGGTTGTTATGATGATGAATCCCATCGAACATTAATCGCCAGAACGCCATGTGCTTGTTTGGCGCATGCGCATTCAAAGTACGTCGGTAAAGACACGCCCCCGACGTGCTGACTCACATTACGTAAGTGAGAACCGTGAAGACTCAATCACACATACACACCTTGAGAGTTAGTGAGTTTAAAAATAAACACTTCACCAACACTCCAGAAATGACGGGCACTCATAGGTGACACTGATCCAACACGGGAAGTGTATCTAATGCTTAATGAACTCCACAGTGTAAAAAAAACCCTCCACATACTCAAACTTATCAGCTCCCTAATTGACATGAGAAGACAAAACATCATCAATAACATGGTTATGTTATTACTGATCAAAAACATTATCTAGACAGAGATAAAAGCTTAACTGGTCAACAACATCCTTTACAGCTTAACTTACCTCCACCATGCAGCCTCCACTGTAGAAAAAGGCAGAAAACTTTTAACAACAAAGTTTGTGATTGTCCTGTGGCCCCACCTCACTTTTCTTTTGTCCTCCTCACATCAGGTTCAGAACCTCCTGTGAGGACAACATTAACAAACAGTGAACATTAGTGAACTGTTTGTCTGTGGGCATAATCAGCACCATAGACATACAGCTGTAGGGCAGCTCTATACAGCTCTGGGTGTAAACACTTAGTCTGTTTGTCATATGTCTGCGTTTTACCTGCCTGCGTGCTGAAACCACGTGACGCGTTCCAGCCAATACCGAAACTTGACACTGACAAAAGAGGGACGTTTCAATCCATACACCGACCGAACTGCGTCGGTTGGTGCTATAAAATAACCTCGGTTCGGTACTCAGCCCTAGTTATACACTGCCTGGCCAAAAAAGAAGTTGCCACCTAGATTTAATTAGGCAAATCGATACAAGCCTCCTATTGGATAATTACTACATGGGTGATTATCTTTCAGCTGGCACCATCTATGGCAACAAGCTATTTAACTCCAACTGGTGCAATGAGTTGCTTATTTCTTCAACAACCATGTGGAAAGACACATGGCATGGTCGTGGAAATGATGTCAGTCTGTTTGAGAAGAGTCAAATCATTGGCATCAAGCAGAGAAAACATCTAAGGATATTGCAGAAACTACTACCATTGGGTTAAGAAATGTCCAACGCATTATTAAAAACTGGAAGGACAGTGGGGACCCATCGTCTTCGAGGAAGAAATGTGGACGGAAAAAAATCCTGAATGATCGTGATCGGCGATCACTTAAATGTTTGGTGAAATCAAATGGAAGAAAAACACCAGTAGCACTCAGGGCTGTGGTTAATAGTGATAGTAAGAGCATTTCCACACACACAATGCAAAGGGGACTCAAGGGAACTCAAGGGACTGGGACTGAACAGCTGTGGAGCCTTAAGAAAATCACTAATCGGTGAGGCTAACTGGAAGAAAATGATTAAATTTGCTAGGGAGCATAAAGATTGGACTCTGGAGCAATGGAAGAAGGTCATGTGAGCTGATGAGTCCAGACTGACCCTGTTCCAGAGTGATGGGCATATCAGGGTAAGAAGAGAGGCAGGTGAAGTGATGCACACATCATGTCTAGTGTCTATTCATCAAAGCAAGATCTTGGTGAAAAATTAATGCAACACTGGAGGAAATAGATCTTGTGACATTGCTGATGCTTATCAAAACGATGCCACAGCGAATGCATGCCTTAATCAACGCTGAAGGCGGTCCAACAAAATATTAATGTGACCTTTTTTTGGCCATGAAACTCAAAGAATCCAATCAGCTACTTAGACTTCAAACATGTCTTAAAGACATAAAAACCTGGATGACCCTAAATTTTATGCTTTTGTATACAGACACGACTGAGGTTTTGGTTTTTGGACCTGAGCACCTTAGGAATGCATTTTTCAGTCTTTTGCCCTCCTTAGATGGCATTAATCTGTCCTCCAGCTCTATTGCTCTCCAAACATGTGGAAATCCTAACTGGGCTTTTGTCAACTCAGTGAGGAAATCTACAACATACACCACTGAACAGAACCACGAGAAAAAGAGAAGGAAAAACATTGTCATCCCTTATGTTGCTGGAGTATCAGAGAAACTCAGAAGGCTTTTCTCCTAACACAACATCCCAGTACATTTCAAACCCAACAGGACCCTCAGACTAGGGATGCACCAATCCACTTTTTCCACTTCCGATGCCGATACCTGCTGTTTCGTATTGGCCGATACCAATCAGATACCGATCTGACAAAACAGTGCTGAATTAACAAAAATGGCTAAATCATGTCATCTGGACCCATTTCTGAAACAGGCCCAGATGACATGATTTAGCCATTTTTGTTGTCTGCCTGGTTGTTTGAGTTTACAAACCCAGTGCTGAATTAACTTAAAACATTTGTTTTGTTAAACGCAGACATGAATTTACTGAATTACAAATTTATTGACAACTCTGCACCATAATGGCACACTAAACACACAAAGAGCTTCACAAGCTTGGTCAAACATAAAAACAACACAACTTTAATTTATTCAGTCAGTTCGCTAGCGCGTGACGTCACTCAGAGCACAAAGCGTAGAATTAGTGAATAGATCTGCCCAGTCATGGATCGGTCACATTGTCACCGATACCCGATCCAGAAGTCTCCCCCCCCCCCGCCCTCCCTGAAAAAAATAGGTATCAATATTGATATTGGTATTGGATCAGTGCAATTCTCTACTTCAGACGGAGGCTGGTCCACCCTAAGGACAAAACACCCATACGCAGAGCGGTGTAGTGTATGTAGTCCAGTGCAGCGAGGACTGTCCAGACCTCTACATTGGAGAAACCAAACAGCTTCTTACAGGAGAGCCATCTCCTTAGGACAAGACTCAGCGGTTCACCTACACCTCAGGGATGAGAGACACTCATGTGAGGACCAGGATGTCTGCATTTTGGACAGAAAAGACAGATGGTTTGAGAGGGGAGTGAAGGAGGCTGTTTATGTAAAAAGAGAGAAACCATCTTTAAACGGAGGAGGATGTCTCAGATTTCAGCTTTCAAAAACTTATAATGCAGCTTTAGGACTGATACCCAGCCAGTTTCACACCTATCAGGAATTCCAACCATGTGACCAGAGTGACCCTTCTGTGGGGTGGGACTAAGAAAGACCCTAACGTTCCTCTATTGCGAAGAGTGAGAGGTCAATCTGCATGTGTCAGGCTGCATTATGTAAGCTTACAGAACACCACTGCTTTATAGCTTGAATCCCACACTCTTTGTTTCTTTGAATTGAGAAAGCTGCTCGAATGAGAAGCAAAACGTTTTCAGTTACAAATAAAGTCCAGTTGTTTTGTTTTTAACTCTTTTTTTTAGAACTACTGCAAGCTGTTTAATGCAACATGTGACTCTGATGCTTTATTTTTGTGTGTTTGTGTGAAAGGTGTTGTAGTTCCTCGCAGCTTTCGGCTGCTGGAGGAACTGGAAGAAGGTCAGAAAGGCGGTGGAGATGGAACTGTGAGCTGGGGCCTTGCTGATAATGATGACATGATGTTAACCCACTGGAACGGCATGATCATTGGCCCTGCCAAGGTGAGCTACTCGCACATCCCACAGCACTTCAGTTCACTTCTGCCTCTGTTAAGATCACCAGTATATAAGAGGGTATCAATCATGTACCGTAATAACCGTACCATATTAGCATGTTGAAAACTGAAAACTTAATCCAATACAGAGGAACTATTGTGCAATAATAAGTAAAAAATATTCAGCAAGACGTTGGGGCTGAAACTTTTGGAAAGGAGAAAGACGGACATTTTGTATCCCAAAAGCAGGTGAATGGCTGGTGGAAATCTCAAAAGGAGTTGCACAGGACTCTGAAGATTATGTGATCAGCTGGGCATAGAGCAAAATGAATTGTACCGTAGTTTTCAGTTGCATTTTTTGCATAATTTGCATGCCCTGTGACTTGTATGCCAAAACGACTTATTTCTTTCTTCTTTTTTTTAATTACCATATTTATAAATCAATTTTGGCCTAGATATGACTGTTTACATTCGTTCTGACTGAAAATATTGAGCACTACCATTTTTTTTGAAAAGCAGCTGATTTGACCATCAAAGTGCATTTATTAAGGAAAAGTTAAACTGAGACACACCTTTACTATAATTTTGAGCAAACAAATAATTGTTTTTAATTGTCAGTCTTGTTAAATTATTGTTAAAGTCCTCCCGTGCACGCTCTGCAGTCGCCATTTGGCAGCCAATCGATTTTTGGCACCACATCGGCTATGGGCCTTTCCGGGTTCAACCCACATTTCTGGGTTGTCAGCGGTGACGCATAACAAACGCAACGCGTCAGCGGTGACACATAAAAGATGCAACGTATATGGCGAAGCGACGTATTTATGGATTTTTCCACTTTATTAGACATTCGGACTGATGAGACTTGTATGGCAGTGCGACGTGTACGGTGGAAAATATGGTAGTCACATTGTATACGTTAGTAAATTGGTAAAAGTGTTGATCTTCATGTCCCTACTAGAGACTGTGTGAAGACAATGTTTTAGTCTTATGCAAAATAGAGTAACACCTGATGTTTCTCTAAAACATAACATTCATGACTCTCAGGTGTGCCACCATACACGTGTATTATCTTCATCATTCTCGGTGCGTTCCATCTTGCCCCACTCACATGGTCACATGCTGTGGGGTCTGCTTATCACCTTAGTGACTACCGGTACATTGGTAGAGCAGCTGGGGCCAAATCTAGATTCATCAGCCTATCAGCTCTTCACAATGATAAATAATTTAATACCTAAAGGATGATTTTGCAAGACATTCTTTTTTTTACAGATCTTCAGTATACAGTCCAGTCGCCCATCTCTGGGCCGGCTGTACGAACAGTCTCACTGTATTTCGGTGCAATGATGAGCTGATTCTGATATCAAAATATTAAAAAAGTTCAAGTGAACCGGTTTTGGTGTGAAAAATGGATTCCCTCTTATCATATTTTATCATCTCTTCTGGTTCCATCCTTTGCAGTTTCACAGTTTTTTTCATTAGCTATCAGTAAAACTGCAGCAGCATCAGGACAAACTAGAGAAAAACTCTGAAAGTGTGTTCCACCTTGATTCATGAAGCTCAACCAGTATTATAAAAAGAAAAAGTGATCTATTAACAAAAAAGGTTAAATGTTGTCTTCTGGACCAGTTTCTTTAAGTGAGAAACGTTTTGTCCCCCATCCAGAGGACTTCCTCAGTCTATGGCCTGTCAACCAGATCTGTCCCATAGGTAGCCTCCACTGCTGTGTTTCAAGCCAACCTCAGAAACAGCGTGAAGACGGCCTCCTTGTTGTCCTCAGGCTGTTTCTGTGAGTAGCAAGTTGGCTGTCTGGCCTAAAACACTTTGTTGTACATGATGATTGATTGTTTTGGAGGGGTGTGCTTTGCACGTGATAACAGCCTACTTTTGAGATTCCAACAGGAGGTTGGCTTGAAACATGGCACTGAAGGCTACTTATGGGACAGATCTGGTTGACAGACCACAGACTGATGAAGTCCTCTGGATGGGGAAGAAACATTTCTCTTAAAGAAACTGGTCCAGATGATACGATTTAACCTTTTTTTTTATCTACCTTACAACCCATGATCTATTTATTATTATTATTGTTGTTGTTGTTGTTGTTGTTGTTGTTGTTGTTGTTGTTGTTGTTGTTGTTATCCTTTCTTTTTTAGAAGTTGCATTTTTACAACATTGCAACGGGGCTCAAACCATAAGCCTATGGTCATAATGAGGGATTGTTGGAGATTAGGCTTATTTGGTGGAAAGTGCCTTTCTTTAAAAAATGTGCTGTTCCCAAAAGTGGGATTTTTGTGTAGTTTTGTCACTTTGCTGTTGCCTGGGATTTGGTGGATGTATAAGTGTTTATAAGTATAAGTGCTATGTACAGTCTTCATTGTATGTTCGTATAAAAGACAAACGTAGCTCTCTGCATCTCTGATGAGATGGACATATCAAAATAGAGGCTGTTGTTGTTGATGAAAACCTGTGGCCTGTTGGCACTAATGTCAGGTTGGATAGTCCCAGAGGACAGTGACATTGCTGTTTTCTGCTACAGTCTGGGGCTCGTGGTAACAAGTGTGTGTTCCTGGCAGATGTTCCAGTGCACGTAGGCAGTAGCCTTATGGTGTCTGCAAATAAATTCTCCTTTGGGATCTTGGTAGTCAATATTTTCTGAGCTTTTTTTCATAGCCTGTACACATATCAATAACTGGCACAGAATCATTTGTTTTTTTCAATTTATTTATTTATTGTATCGAGTTGACGCTCACATTTTTGATCCAGACCAATACTGAATAGAGGTGTGAATCTCAGTGTCTGGTGATCTGATTTGATTCTGATCTTTGGTGTCACGATTCAAAATCAATTTTTCAATTCGGAAACAATTTTTCTATTGAAATGGTCATAAATGTTGTTTAATTTATATTGTACATGTAACTGACAAGCTGAAAAGATCAAACAACAATGTAAACCAGTAGAACATTTAAAAATCATTTTAGTTCTTTACGGTATCAAATCTTTTTAATTCATTTTATATTTATACCAAAAATAGAAACAAATATAGGAGTGCATAAAATTCTGTAACTTAAATTACCAGTATTTAGTTAACTTAGTTGTCTGAATTTGTCAACAACAACAACCAAAAAGTAAATAAAATAAAAATCTATGAACAAATAATTCATCCATCATCTTTATCCACTTCCTCTTTTTGAGTCACTGGTATCACTGGTTCCCATATCAGCCATCCCTGTGTGAGAGGTGGGGACACCTGGACAGGTCTCCAGTCCATCACAGACAAATAATTCAAAATATATAAATATCAAAGTAAACAGACTTCATCTACCAGACACAGTACATTAACCTTTAACATAAAATACAGACTTCAGTTATTTTAACCATATTGCTCTAACATTTGTTATATTTTCAAAACTTAACCTAACATGAAACATACAGACTTCAGTTATTTTAACCATATTGATTCATATTTAGTAAATGTTTAACTAACTTTAAAAACCTGCACTAAAACTTGTGAACTGTAATAATTTATAAACCATAAACTGTCTCATTTAGAAGTGGCTCCAGATGATGTGTCTCGTCTCTTCAACCTGTTCAAAAGATAAATTACATAAAGTTTGTTGAACAACTTGTCCATAAGTTTTAGTTTAATGTGAGAAATAACAGTTTCCTTTGATCTGCAGCTGCATCAGAGCTTCTAACATTTGTTGTTTCATGGTGAAGTTGTGGAGCTGCTTTATCACAAATATAAATGTACATGAAGGAATAACGTACGTTGGATCCATCGTATTAAAATAAAGCTGAACCCGTCACCGTCACTGAGCTGTCTCATCATGAATCCTTTGTGATGCAGCAGGAGATGGAGAGGGAACTCTTCACAGCCTTTGGAGAAGATGGAAGTTTGTTGCACAGTTCACTGGTCGCTGCTTCACTTTCATCTAACGTGAATTTTATTTTACACTCCTTGTAAACAACTGTGTTCTTGTTAAACTCTGTCTTCCCCCGGAACATTGTAGGATCTGAAATGATGTTTAAAGCTGAAGCAGCGAGTTGAATCGTGCTGTCTCCCCCAGCAGATGATGCAGAAGAGACAGCGCTCTCTACAACAGACTTATAGAAGATATGCAGCATCTTGCTGCAAACCCTGAAGGACTTCAGCTTCCTCAAGAAGTACATTCTGCTCTGTCCCTTCTTGTAGACGCTTCACTGTTGCAGCTCCAGTCCAGTCTGTTGTCCAGGTGAACCCCAAGGTATTTATACTTCTCCACCACCTCCACTTCTTCTCCCATGATGGAAATAGGGTTGGATCTGTTCCTGATTCTCCTGAAATCTACAATCATCTCCTTTGTTTTGTTCACATTCAAGATGAGATGATTGTTTCCACACCATGCCACAAAGCGGTCCACCAGTTCCCTGTACTCAGCTTCTTGTCCATCTCTGATACACCCGACCACTGCAGAGTCATCAGAATATTTCTGCAGATGACAGGAGTCTGTTTTATACTGGAAATCTGAGGTGTACAGAGTGAAAAGGAATGGTGCGAGTACAGGCCCCTGTGGTGCTCCTGAGCTACTGACCACCTTGTCAGACACACAACCCTTCAGTCTCACAAACTGTGGTCTGTCTGTCAGGTAGTCCAGGTATACAATCCAACAATTTTCAGTCAGGTCATCTGGACAGTTTTTTTTTTTTTCTTATGTGTTGAAACGTTTCACCTTCCATCCAGAAGGCTTCATCAGTCAAGGAAAC